AAGTTTGATGATGAAACTGTTGGCCGGCCAGGGCTCACTGGAATCTTGCCTATTTAGCGCAGGGAGCGAGGGACCCTTAGCAGCCTAAGACTTAAGAACCACACAAGTTGTCGGAGGCACCAAGCAGTGAAAGCCTTCAGATGGTGAGCTCCTACCTGGAAGGATTTGACCTGCCACCCTCAAGCGATGAAGACGAGGAAGATGAGGACGACCTGCAACCCGAGTACGCGCCTGTGCCCTTCCTGCGATTCAAGACTTTTCAAGTTGACTGGCCACGAATTGATTTTGTTTATACAGACTGCGACGAAGTCGAGATTCACAGCCAGTGCTTCCTGCCTGACGAGCTCCCTCAGGGACTTTATTCTGCTGCATCACTTAAGCAGGTGGAGGTTGCAGTGCTACATATCGGTCTGGTGGTATTAGCCTGGTATTGGATGTCCTGCGGCCACAGGCGGGTAGTGATCAGTGCTGGGTATCTAAATGAGGAGCAGGTGGCATGGTGGGAGTGGTTCTACGCACAGTGCTTTGCAGAGTTTGCAATCATCAATGGGCTCACCGAAGAGCAGATTCGTGTATCGGTTGAGGTCGATGCACCACAGCACACCGACGAGGGCTCTTTGGTCCATGGGCCAGAGCAGAATCCCAGACCGTCCAGCGACTCAAGTGAGGCACGGGTCCTGTGCCTTCTGGGTGGGGGCAAAGACAGCCTAGTAGTGCACCAGATGCTGCAGGATGCAGGCGTCACGTCGCCAACTTGGCTCTATGTAGGCGATGGGCGCAAGGAGTTTCAAGGCAGCTGGCGCCTGCAGGCTGTCGTGCAGCGATCTGGATCCTCGGTGCTGGTGATGGCTCACGACTTCCAGACTGAAGCAATGGCAAAGAGGAGGTCCCGGCTGCAGCCCTGTGGCCACCCCTGGGCTGCGCTTGTGGGCTTCGATGCGGTGCTGGTGGCTTTACTATCTGGCTTTGACTACATAGCTGTTGGCAACGAGCGTTCGGCAAACTATGGCAACAATCTCCGTGTGGGGAGCATTGAAGTGAACCATCAGTTCGACAAGAGTTTCGGCTTTGAGTCGCGCATGCATAGATATATCCGTCGACACTTGGCCCCCAGCACCTATTACTTCTCAGCCCTCCAGCACCTCTGGGAGGTTCAGATTGCTTGGCTATTCTGCCAACGCTCGGCTGGCTTCCTAGATGTTTTCATGAGCTGCAATGACAGTAACGGTTTGAACGAGTGGTGCTGCGACTGTGAGAAGTGCTGCTTCGTGTTTGCATTGCTTGCGGCCTGGCTGTCATCAGTGGAGGTTGCAAGGTATTTCGGAAAGAATTTGCTTGAGAACCCCAAACTGTTGCAGAACTTCCGAAGCCTTTTGGGCATATCATCGCAGGATGCAGGTGACCGTGGGAGGACGGCCGTAAAGCCTTTCGAATGTGTGGGAACACCAGACGAGGTCCTTCTCAGCCTTTGGCTTGCTCGCGAAGCCTCAAACTTCTCACTAGATGGGCTTCCACTGGCACTTGCATCCCTGCCCCTGGACGAAGGGCGGGAGCATGTCGATCTGCTTAGCCAGTACAACCCTGAAAACTTTCTCCCGGACTGGCTAGTCCCGAAAGAGGCTGCGGTAGAGTCTTTGCAGGACAAGCTTGCTATTCATGGTTCCGCTACACTCGAGCAGAAGTGGAAATCCTTCTGGAGTGATGTGATGTCGGAGACTTTGAGGGTACGGCAATGACTTCAAGCTGCATCTTGCTGAGAGGTAGTTTTTCAATCTGATGAATGGGCCATGATTCAGGTGCTTCCTAGTTGGCTCTTTGTTATCAAAGGCATGCCCAGAGACTCCGCCTTCGTCCTCGACTGTCTCTGAGCCATTGAGCTACCCTAGATGAGCCCAAGCTTCGATGGGATTGTGCAGGACAGCCTTGAGGCGCACAGTGGGGAGATTCGAACTGATGACCTGCGGGCTCAGGATCATACGTGCTGTGTTGTTCCACGCCCAATACTTGCCCCGTATGATTCCGAGATGACTTGCGTGCTCAGGGTCGGAGGTGCTGTGTCGTTCCACGCCCAATGCCGCAAGCCAGACGGACCAAGAGCCACGGCTCAGTCGCAGGCAGCGAAGAACGACAGGACGGGAACTGGCGAGGACCAGAACAAGACGACACAGAGGGCAAGGGCGGCGTTCTCAAGGGCGGACCTTCGAGAATGAGCCCCGTGACTTTCGGCGAGCTTCAAGCAACTTGGAGAGCTGTCCAGCCTGAGCCCAATGTGCCCATTTTCTTCTTTATCCCTGCCCTCGGAGCTGGGCAGAGAGTGCAACGCAGAGCGTTCGCAAAACTGCACAGAAGCGTGGACCAACCTCTGGAACGACGATCTGATGAGAGTCTGCCATGTTGAGAGCCGCAGATATGCTTTGCTCAAGCAGAGCTCTCAGCCGTCGACTTCGAGGCATTGCGAGGTCTACCAAGCGAAATGGCCCAAATCAGTGTGCAGAGCTGTGTCTGAAGATGCCGCTACATGTCCCTAGATGGAACTTTAGGCACCAAAATTTCATAAGGGAATGGCTTTCAGGGGGTGCGGGCAGGCTGCCCGCAGCAGTGATGCACCCCAGATTTACACGGGAATGGCTTTGAGGGGGCTGCCCGCAGCAGTGATGCACCCCAGATTTACACGGGAATGGCTTTGAGGGGGTGCGGGCAGGCTGCCCGCAGCAGTGATGCACCCCAGATTTACACGGGAATGGCTTTGAGGGGGGGCAGGCTGCCCGCAGCAGTGATGCACCCCAGATTTGCACGGGGATGGCTTTCAGAGGGTGCGGGCAGGCTGCCCGCAGCAGTGATGCACCCCAGATTTACACGGGAATGGCTTTGGGGGGGTGCGGGCAGGCTGCCCCCAGCAGTGACAGAATTACACGGGAATGGCTTTGGGGGGTGCGGGCAGGCTGCCCGCAGCAGTGATGCACTCCAGATTTACACGGGAATGGTTTTCAGGGGGTGCGGGCAGGCTGCCCGCAGCAGTGATGCACCCCAGATTTACACGGGAATGGCTTTGAGGGGGTGCGGGCAGGCTGCCCGCAGCAGTGATGCACCCCAGAGATTTGCACAAGAATGGCTTTGAGGGGGTGCAGGCAGGCTGCCCGCAGCAGTGATGCACCCCAGATTTACACGGGAATGGCTTTCAGGGGGTGCGGGCAGGCTGCCCGCAGCAGTGATGCACCCAAGATTCACAAAGGAAGGGCTGCAAACTTGGCAGTAGAAGTGGCACAACGCTCCAACTAAGTTCTTGCTGAATTTGGGTTTTGTGTCGGCAAGCAGCGAATATTCCAGATCAGCTTCAGCGCACAGGGTATCCTGAACAGACTCACAGACGCGGCCAAGGTGAGCTTAAGCGGCGCCAGGCCAAGACCGTCAGGGAGAAGTGGCTTCTGGGTAGCAACCGAGATGCATGATGTTTCGAAAATTACTGCATCCGTATGGCGAGGGCCGCCGAATGAGGTTCGTAGTCCAACCTGAGTTGCCCTCTGTACAATGGACGGCGACACCCGTAGCCCATACCCCAAATTTTGTTTGATCCCGGTTCCCAGCGATTGCTCCTGGAATCGCGTTGAACAATGTTTATAGTGTTCCGGGGTGTCGGTGCCTGGTTCCGACCCATGATGAGTCGGGCGGGGGCAAGTTTGGCTTTAGGTGCTTTTGGCACAACTCGATGACAGGTCTTCTCGCATGACTCTCGATGCTTCACGACTGCGCCGGAACGTACTAACTTGCACATTTGCGAGCAATGGTAGCTGTAAAGACAAGGGCATTGTCGAAGCGCTGCAGAACCATGAGGTGGGAAAAAGGGCCGACCCTTCCTGGTGAGGGCTGTACACCGGCACAGCGACGACTAGCAGATGACAAGGCCCTGCTTACATCTCAGATGTCGGAGCTCCTCCGCCTAGGGCTTGACAATAGCAAAGCACATGTCTGCGCCGCCGTAATACATGAACAGATATAAACAAACACACACACACACACGCAGAAAGAGAGGGACCTGAAGCGATCATTGATTGTTAGTTTAGGGACTATAGGGGGCTGTGATCACTTCTGAAGGCTCCCCTGTCAGCCGATGTCTTGCTGCGAAGGCACACTACACGGGAGTTTGCCGCTTGCTGCAGGCCCGTTCTGCGTTTCTTGGTTCTTGTTGATAGGACCTTAGGAATCCATCTGTTGGAGTGCCAGGATTGTGTTGTTGGCTCGGGCCCGGCAGAAAAGTGATTGATGCAAGTTGTGCTACATGGCTTAGATGGGTGTGGCTTGACTGCAGTGCCTTATTGGGCCTTGGCAACGGCACAAGGGAGCTCTCACGCATGTGTCCATGTGCTTGAGATCTGGTCGTGTACTCGGGCTTAAACTCAGCTAGGACTACCTTGGGTACTTGCAGTGGTTGCGTGATTCCGCGGGCATGTTTGCTCATTCTCGTGGACTGCCATCAAAGCTGCTGATACACCGCAGACAGCACAAGATCAGCAACCAACTAAGATCGCTCACAACCAGTTCTCAATGGACTTGAGCACCGCAGTAGCCGCGTAGCAAGCCAGGAAGCACCGCGAAGCACACCAAGGATTTAAGACTCGCTGCCGTGGCTCATGCCGGATAAACAGGGGATCCAGTGACTGATGAAGAAGTGCCTGGACATGAGTGCAAGAAGTGGGGGGGGGGGGGTGGGGATAACGATTAGCTGAGCTGCGAAGGGTCTGGGGGTCATCATACCCCCCAACACGAGACCCCATAAAGCTCGGCCTTCAGCAGAAGTGGAAGCTTGCCAAGGCGACCCGGTCTCGACCATCGGAGTATCGGAATTTGAATTTAGCTGGGAGAACTCCAACTACAAGCTGCTTCAGTGGAGAACAAGCGGTGGCAGATAGGAGCTCAGAGGATGGACTTGCCGCAAGCACAGAGAAGCGGCCGCTGACGAACATGGAGGAAGTTAAGCCCTCGCAGAATGCCCTAAGGCTATCATGAACTTCTCGCCGACTGTCCAGACGACCGGCCAGGACTGAGGGTCAAGAGCGGGATAAAGGCTGAGGGCCAGGGTTTTTGCAAAAAAGGGCTCTGTTAAAGGGGAAACTTGATGATGTGGTGGCTTGCAATACCATGAACAAAAGTCTTGCTTTGCGCAGGAGCGAGAGACCAAGGGTGGCTTCGTCTATGCGGGCAATGGCCAGCTTGCTTACATTGGCCAATAATCTTGAGCGGTGGGGCGGGGTTGGCCTCAGTTGACCACAGGACAGGATTTCAAGGTTTCATAGGGGAAGAAGAGCGGTGCGACTCACGCAGGAGCTCCGCCATGTAGAGGTGCACATGTTGAGGAACATCCGGATGAAAGTTTGTACCGAAGCAGCTTGAGGCAAGGGCACCCACATGTGGCGGCTCAAGCAGGACGTTGAGGGGTGGCGAGCTATTTAGCTTTTGGAGTGTTCTGAGGTTGCAAGACAGTGTGGACCGTAGAGCGAGCGCTGTTCGGTGGAGCCTTGTTTTCAAATTCTTCAGCTTGAATCCCGAACTCCAAAAAGGTTCAACGTTTCAGCTCTGGTCTGCAGCAGGAGCGGCCGGACCTCTTCGCCGAGAAAGACCTACCTGAGGCCGGTTGAATGCACCCCTGTTGCCTCTTCTGTCCGGTAGTAAGCAACTTTCCTTCGCCACAGTGGAGTAGTGCTCGGCTCCTGAGGAAGAGCAGATCCCGAGCGGCTTTGCCACCTGCAGCACTGCAGGGTGGCTATACAACAAGGCCTTGGCGACCTTGCGAAACATGGGACGAGCTGCAGTCCTGTGCTTTCTATCTATTCTTTAGCAAAGGTATGGATGAGGCCAAATCCTACTCAGAGCTATGCCATAGCATGCCCTCAAGCGGTTTAGGAACTGGCGCTTCGGCGCGTGGTCTTTAATCTAAATGTGTTTGGGTTCAACGTACTGCGGTTGGTTTGTCAGAGTGGGAGCAGTTGGGAAGTCCCGACGGGGTGCCAAAGTTGAAGTTGAGTTACGAGGCTCCGAGGTGCCAGTGCGCAAGGCCCACACTGGGCACATGCTCTCTACGGGCACACATGCAGCCAAAACTGCAAGTGCCGCTGCGCCAACCACAACCCCGCCCCCTCCACCTCTTCTCCCTGTGAGGACAAGGATATCTACTTCGAGCAGCTTGGACTGGCAGAGTGCATGACAGGATAGCTTGGTACGTTTGAATACCGGTTGCACAGTGATGATCGCATTGTGGACCAACTGTGCCCGTGTCCGTCCACAGTGGCCGTGATAGCATATTGATATTGGCGTTGTTTTGTTCTAGCTGTCTTCACAGGGTCCTCGTGACCGAGCTCGAGTTTTCGGGTGTCGATCCCCAGCGTGCGACGGTTAAACGATTGAAGCATCTTGCCGTGAACTTGCAGGCTGAAATCGAAGCGGCGGTTCTGGTTCGACGAATCCACCCGGGTGCACCGAGCGCTCCACGAAGGGGAGGCGCCGGACAGGGATGATGGCTTTTCAAACTTCGGCACATCTGGCCTGTCAGTTGAAGACTTTTCCTCCTCCCATTCTTAAACTAAGCGCACTGTCTTTGCCCTGTACAGGACAAGTGTGTCACACTGCTTTAAGCATGGTGCGGCGCTGGACCATGAGAGGTACAGTAGTGCAGGTAGGACACCTACTTGGACCACTGTCACACATCAAGCTAAAAAAACATGGTTTGGATGAAAAATCAAAGCCTGACAGTATGAAGTGCCACAGCATTGATGTACGATGATGTGCCAATACATTTGGCAAGCTTCGGAGTTGCATCTCACGGAATTATAGCATGCGTCTGATATAGACATCATGCTGCATCAAGTTCTGAAGCAACATTGTGGAGGTATGACAAAATTGCATGCATCGAACCATTGAAGTTTCTGAAGATATGCAGCCAGTGTTTTCACAGAAGAGCTTTCGCAAAATAACTTGACTCCGCTGAGATGGAAGCCTGCAGTCCATGTGGATTGAATTCTACACGAGGCGACTTCACTTTGCTTGTCCGCGGGAGCATCGGCCATCTCTGCCAATGCTATGCCGATGACGAAGCACATCGTGGTTTGCAGCCCAGAGAAGTGCTCAGTGTTCACCTAGGAAACATTTAGTCGCACGCACACACACACACAAACCTCCACCTCTTGCTTGATAGCATCCCTTCACATCCTAGTTAGATACAGCACCCACCTACTGTAAGTTACCTGCGATTACGATGCAAAGATCTGCGAGGTTTAGGAGCCCGTCAGACTGAAGGACACGCCCTGTTCCCTAAAACATCCTCAAGCAGTACAGCACCAGGACTTCATGTGCCAAAAGATGACACACCACTGGCTCAAGGAAGGGAAGCACATGTCCATGAGGTGCCCGACATCCACGGTGCGGCCAAGGCGTGGCACCCGTGGAGCTTTCGGTTCCATGACCGGGCTCTCTCGTTCCCTCCCATGCAGCCCTGAATCCCCAGAAAAAGCAGTAAACCCCGGAAGGTCTGAGATTGGTTGAGTCGTGACGTAGTCGCAGGTTTTACTGGAGCAGCGCTTGTGAGTTATGGTTTTGCTTATGCTTGGGTTGTAGTATCGTGGGCCGTTCTATACTGTGTTTGCCGGCGCGCTCGGGTAAGTCTGGATGATGGGTAGCTCTTTTGAAATAGCTGAGCAATGTCTCAACCTCTAGTGATGCTGATAGGTGGTGGCTGAGTCAGATTTGTGTTATTGGGTGGGTTATGATCTTAGCAAGTCACTGCGCTCGTGAGCTTGAACCGTGTGGAGCCTTGCCTGCCGTGTGCGAGTGTGAGAGTCGAGACCCGAACCCTAAGCCCGACATCCGGGGTTGCATTATGCGAGGGATTCTTCTGCCCCATCTTGGCCAATACAAACACCCCCGGAGCATGCCAAAGACTTGCGAGGTTGCGATTTCGTGCCTGAGCATCGAAGTTTTAGTGACTTTTCGTGCAGGATGCTGGCCTGTGCCCCATAGGATTAAACCAGGACCCGCTCAACTCTAAATGCGCCCTCGCATGATTTTTCGGGTCGGTGATGTGAAGTTGGGCTCTTCAGATTGATGCCAAGGCTGAGAAAGCTGTCCGATTCTTTCAGTCTACACCCCACCTTACGGTCTCCCACACGGTCACTGACTCCAGGCCCTCCGGCGAGACTTCAGCCACTTGGATCGTCCGGCTGGGGCTTTGGCAGTGCTCGGCCAGGCCCCCAAGATGGGACATAGGTTTAGGGTGTAGGGAATTAGGGGTTAAAGGTTTAGGGTTTCGTAAAGGGTTTAGGGGTTAAGGGTTTAGGGTTCATGGGTTTTTGGTTTAGGGCCTAGCTTGAGGGTCAGGCGCCTCGAGGGACTCCCCATGCAGAGGAGCCTCACCGGCGCGGACACCAACCCATTACGAATTCGACAGCTGCTGGATCCTGAATCGTACATTGTACTAAGCCTCATCCTGTTGCGATTGAATCTATACGTGAAGGCTCTCATGTCCCAAGGGGGGACTAGACGATAGGCTCGTCTTCGGCGAGCGGTGATATCCCAATTCCAACGACTTTCTTCTCACTCTTCCGTCACCTCTTTCTATGGCAGCGTCATCGCGAGAATGACGGTTTCCCTCCTTGCGCCTTTCAATCTTGCGTGAGAACTTTCAAAGACTCCGGGACGGGACCGTCTCATCAAAAAGGATCCTACCGCCTCGGATAGGGTCGCTACCGAGGTGCGGGCTCCGGTGCCGCAGCGCCCGAGGCGGCCGCGCGGCTTCTGCCGGACCGGTTGCCGGCCAACATGGCAGAGCGTTCTTAAGTCTAGATGGTTGGGACGGCACGGCTCCTGAGCTTATGGGCTTATGGTTTAGGAATGTTTAGGGTAACATGTCCCGCATTGAAGGCTTCCTTCGAGGTTTGGTGGGGCTTTTGCGGGGAGGTTTGATGAATTCAGACGCAAGAGCAGACCAAGAGGTGAGCAAGGCTGAGTGTAGTGATGGAGCACAAAGTCCTTTGCACGTTATCGTTTCTGGACCCACGTCGGACAAATCGGAGTATATTGTGTGATAGAAATGCAACAAGACATTCATGCATCCAAGCTCTTCCATAAACGTTTGCAGGAGAAACTTTTCAAGCGTCTGGCATCCTTCCGCGGCGAGTGGACGGATGAGATGCTCGTGGCCCTTTCCTGAGAAGAGAGAGAGTGTTGACGGTGTGATCTGTACCTGTTATATAAGTTCTATTCATATATACGTAGAAACACATACTTAGTTTTTGTGTGTAATTACCCGCACCGTAGTATGTGACATTACACTATGTAATTTGCCATATTGTGTTATATATTATGTATTATGCTGCATGAGATATGAAAGCAAATGATGGAAAGGGTGTTTAGGATCCAGTTGGCGGTCGCTGATGCTGATGGGGCCATGCCTAATGTTGTGAGCTGCACCAGGCACTGCTGATGTGATTTTGTGGACTGTAGTAGTGCGATCCGCACAAGGCACTTCTGATGCTGATGGTGCTCAGCCCTGTGTCCCTGCAGATCGGTAAAGCCGCACCGGCACCTGCTGATGCTAATGATGCTCGGCCCTTTGTTTCAAGGGTTTACGCCTGATCGGCACAAGGCGCTCTGTGTCGTTACAGATAGGAGCTTAGGCCGCGCTGACGCTGATGATGCTCGGCCCTGTGTTTCTAGATAGGAGCTTAGGCCGCGCTGGTGCTGATGATGCTCGGCCCTGTGTTTCTGCAGATGCA